ATGACGTCTCTCTCCGGCTGAATGACGTCACTCTAACTGGATGATGTCTCTCTCCGGCTGAATGACGTCACTCTAACTGGATGACGTCTCTCTCCAGCTGAATGACGTCACTCTAACTGGATGGCGTCTCCCTCTGGTTGAATGACGTCACTCTAACTGGATGACATCACTCTGGCAGAATGACGTCACTCTGGAAGAATGACGTCACTGTGACGTTACTCTGGCTAATGACCTCTGTCTGGCTAAATAACGTCTAATTCAATTTTAAATCTAATTATTTGTAAAATCTCTGAAGGATTGTAATTATGTAAATTGTGGGGAGTGGCAGCCTAGTGGTTAGGGCATAAAGGATCCTTAGGTTCTGAGTTCGAGCCCAACTCCAATAGACTGCCACTCTGTGTTTTTGAGCAAGACCCTTAACCCCACACTGCTCCCTGAGCACCCCACGATGGCAGCCCACTGCTCCCCAAGGGGAGGGGTTAAATGCATAGAGGGAATTTCACCAATGGAAGATCAATAAAGTTCAATTATAATTAAGTGCCTCGTAGCAGTCCTTATCCTACGGAAAGGTGGTTTTAGTCATAGTTATCTCACCTTTGACCTTCACCTGGTTGGGCAAGCAGGAAGGACAGGGCAGCAGGACAAACTCCTCAGCTTGGTGCATGGAGTAGTCAGTGCTGGCAACAACCACTCGGTCCCCACTTCCCCAGCCCACCACCTTATCGCTCAGCTCCAGGATGGTGTTGTATGTCGACACATCGATTGAAAGAGATGCCTGTGGACGAACTGGAAAGTGAAGATTCATCGTCAGAATCCTACTGAATCCAAATGCTTTCAGTTGTCACGCTGTCTCAGACTTTTCAAGTATTTACATTTTTTTCTTGTACCAGCTACAAAAAGTAATCTGAAAAGAAGACTTCTTTTTACAGAGGACCTACTAAAATTTTGGTTTTCTTTAATTTTCCTTTGGGGTTTTTCCTTCTTCAACCGGCTGCTTTCATTGGAGTTTAGTGCTAGTGTTGAGGAATATGAAGGTCTTAGATCACAAAGGACTAGAAATGTACGATCATTGGTCAAAGTAGAGAGAATATGACACTATTTTTTTCTTACTCAAATTTTTCTTTAACTTTATAAATTACAGTTTGATAAGTAGTATGGAAGTAGTTTAGTTAATCTGATATTAGTATATCAGTGGGAAAGTCAAAGTGTTTATTTAAACAAAAAACATAAACAAAACGGAAGCGCAGAGCTGTGAATCTGTGGACCCCAGAGGCTGTGGGGGGGTGGGGTGCAACCCATCACTGGCAGTCTGGACGTGGGAGAAACACAGGTAAGTGACCACAATCATCTGACAGAAGATGATTATCTGTGTGAGTCAGTTACCAGGTTAACAGTACAGTCCAGAATGGACTGCCAACGACATGCAATGGGTTTGAATCACATGATGCAGCCCCAGTGAGTCGCCAGGGATCAGATCCAGATATGAGAAACAGATCACACATGGACAGTTCTGGAATCCAGAAATCCTGAGCCCAGTCAGGGGTTCCAATCCACACAGGAACAGACAGATCCAGGGTTCCAGGAATCCACAGAGCGGGAAGGAAGGTTCAGAGTCCCATGTGTTAAGGGACAAGGTTAGATAGAAATACACAGATGCAGACAGGCATACACAGTGGTTGAGGGACTGAGACAAGACGTGGTACTGGGATTACTGCAGAACTTTAAAATGGTCTCCACCGAGGAGCCAGGCTTACAGGACTTAAAACTGGACTCCCGCCTAGGAGTCAGGACACGATCAGGAAACAAGACAAACACTAAAACCCTCTCTAACCACAGGCCTCTGGGGACGGGGACATGGAAACTGGAATAACTAAAACTAATGGAACAGAACTAACAAAGCATCAAACATCAAAACAATGATCTGGCCCTGATAGCTGGGCTAAGCCAAAGATAAATCAGAATCAGTCAGTGGATGAGATCAATGATAATGGGGATCCTCTTCCCTCCATTAAAGACATTTCATCCCAGCGCTGCGTGTCCCGTGACATCATCAATGACCCCCTCACCCCCCCACCATGGACTGTTCTCTCTGCTGCCCTCTGGGAAGAGGCTTCACAGCATTCAATGCAGGACCAGCAGGTTCTGCAGCAGATTCTTCCTCACCGCCATCACACTGATGAACTGTTGAGAAAACTCTAAATCACAGACCCTGCATCACACTGACGACACCAAACCAAACACTTCATATTTGCACCATATAAATTAATGCTGTGAACTTCCATATCAATGAGTTTTTCCACCATGTTTTTTCTCCCAAACTGTTTACATTTGATCACTGCTGCACTTTATGGATGGAAATGTCATGAGAGCTGAAGGAAACGTAATTTCGTTTAGTATACAAACTGTGTATACAAAATTACAACAAAGTTTGTTGAAGTCTATCTATTGTGACACAATTGGTTTAAGAACATATTTAATCAAGAAAACAATGATTAGAATTGAAATATTAATAAGTACACTCAACAAAAATATTAACGCAACACTTTTTTATGAGATTAATTCAATGTCGCCCTTTCCCTCAAATATTGTCCCAAACCAGTCTAGATGTGTGATAGTGAGCACTCCTCCTTAGCTGAGCTAATCCATCCCACCTCACAGGTCTGTCATATCAAGATGCCGATTAGACACCATGATTAGTGCAAAGGTTAACGGGGGACATTGTGTATGTGGAAAAACTTTAAGATCTTTGAGTTTATCTCATAAAAAGTGGGAGCAAAACCAAAAGTATTATAGTTTATATTTTGTGATATTTATTCTATATTAAAATAATTATCATAATTGTAATATATTTCTTAATGTCTAGATGGACTGCCCAGTCTGTGGATGTGAGTGGAAACATTGTTTAGATGAACCAACATTAGTGAAATTAACCAAGGGAGGCATTTTGATCAAACCCAGTGATCACAAACTCTATTATTGGTACAGCCCGTCCCTAGAGGGCACTGTTTCTCAGGCTATGCTGCCGTCAAAGGCTCTGCCCTTTTTACTCTTAAGTCAAGAAAACTTGAAATTGTTGATGAAGCTTTTATGAACGTCTATAATGATTTCATAATGTGTGCAGGGTGTTGGTCTGCAAACAGAAAACACTGATGAATGATGATTCAGAGACATGCTTTAAATAAGCAGGAACTCTAAACTCAGCATTCCTAGCATACCTCTAACATCTGCTTTAACTCACCAACATCTCAACAGAAGCTGCTTTTTCCTTCTCTGTGACGGCACCCGGCTGTTGGGGTGCTTCTATCTATCAGCAGAGACCGGCGCACAGACGGTGTCCTGCTAACGCTCCCAATTAGAGACTTGAGGAAATCAAGTCATCCACATCAGCGGCCATGGGATTCCCACAGTGGCTGTTTACATTCCTTCAAACACCAGCTGCAACTGATCTTTCTACCCAAGGTCTATATTTTGTATGATTCAGGGGATCTCAGAGGTATAGTGGATGTTATTAAATCAGACATACTGGTGCAGAGCTCAGTGTTAACATGTTCAAAGACACTGCAGGCAGCTGAGAAAATTACCCAGTTTTCCACACAGGAACCGGACTTGGTAATTGTGACACAGGCCATGAACCTGGTCCTTGTTCAGGCAGACAAATCCAAACTCCTTGCTGATCTTGTGGATGACATCTCCTGTCTGGTTGAAAGGTATTCCATCCTGGGTCTGGACCTGAACAAAGACAGATACGTTCTGGTCACTTTTTCCATCTTTTTCTGGCCACCTGACGAATCATTATTTCATTTAAGTTGGCAGCTTTACACCTGTGTCCAAAAATATCTTCCTATTATGTAATGTCCAGCAACCCAAAGTGACTGAAGGTAGACCCAAACACTGCGACCACCCCTCAGGAGAAGTCTTTAATATGGACAAAAAGAATGAGGCAGACAAACAGAGAGTGGAGCAGTCAGGAGCCATGAGGCCAGAAAATGACATACCAGTGATAAATAAAAACTAAAAGTGGTTCATAGGGGCAATCGGATGGCAATCAGGGAACAGCTGAGGCAGAAAGGAGGTGAGGAGCTGTGGGGGTTTTCTACTGAAGGTTTTATGATCAAACTATATCAGCAGCAGATGTGCTTCTCTGTCTGCAGTCACCTGCAGGTCTGTCTGTGAGCGAGACGTTACAGCAGAGTAGAGCCATAATCATAGCAGTCATAGCAGACAGCTACATGCATCATTTAAGACCTTTTCATTGTTTGTGTCGATGTGGAAAATTCTACTCATGTTTTCTAGATCTAGATTACCTAGATTATGGGCTCTCTCCCAAAGCAGCATTAGCTTCAGGGTAATCGACTGAGAAAGCTACTGAACATTTAAAGAAAAATCCACCTTTTATTGACTGTTTAATGATTAACAGGATACTTTGCCAAAATGTTTTAAACTCTGGATCATTTTCTCTCTAAATAACAAAGTGTTGCTGATCAGCTTAGATCAAAGCTCGTTTAGTGTGTGGTGGGAGGGCAGGGCTAATCATGGCTGTCCCTGACCATAGGTAGACCTGCTCTATGGGCTGCAGTGACAGACGTCCTATATTTCTGGAGAAAGTCCCCGTTTGGGACCAGGCCCAGAAACTGCTGCTAGCTGGTTAGCAGCTGTTAGCGTATAGATGCGGAGCAGATGAGGAAGATGGTCATCAGGAGCGCTCTCAGCCGCCCTGTGCTAATGTGTGTTAATTGATCTGAGTTGATCTGAACTGGGCCGATCGTTGGGATAAATGTTTGCTTCGTTCCCAGGTTAATAAAAAAAGGCTTTTATGTGTTTGTTTTACTGAAGACGAGGAGCAGAAATGTAGAAAAAACCAAACTAATAAACAAACAGTCAGACAGACCTTTGGCTGCAGCTGGAGGAGGAAATACTCAGATTAAATGAACCAGAATAATTAAAAACTCCTCATAAGGAGCTAATCTGATCAGTGGTTCTCCAGGATCAACAAGGGTTCATCTAAAGATGCTTCTAGAACTGACCGGTGACCTTTAGTTTAGATCTGCAGATAGTTAGTCAGGAGAGTTATAAGTTTTTTTGTTTTATGGCTGCGATCTCTGAGCATAGACTTCCAGGCTTAGATCTACTTTTCTACCACTCAGTTTGGATCTATGAAAGTTCCTCATTATAGAAAATAAAAGGCAGTAAAAGGAAAACTGAATGAGACAAGATCTGCATGATCTGAGAATGAAGGAGGAAGAGATAACCGCCTGTTTAATCTGCATCTATTAGGTGGTTTTTACTTCTAGCTCCAAATATTGTGGTGATGAACCTTTTAGTATTTAACCAGGAGAGATAACAAAAATAATAATAATCATAATATGTATGATTAGATTCTGTGTTTGGAGGGATTATTTCCCTGTTTTAGATCAGTGTTAGATTGATAGAAGAACAGAGGAAAAAGATTATAAGACTGATGGAAAGCAGATAGAATGAGAGCGGAGGAAAATAGGAAGACTGATGGAAAGATCAGTTAAAGAGAAGGAGGAAAAATCTACCTGGCAGGAGTCAGCTAGAAAGAACATAAGCTGGAGGGAAGAATGCAGAGAAGACTGATTGACCAGATGGCTCTAATAAACACCACAGAATGATTGATTTCTTAGGAAATAGGAGAGGCACATTCCTGGATTTAACACTTGATTTTTGTTCTTTAAATATCAATACATATTTAAAAATTAATGCAAGCATCACTGTCTCCATTTCCTATTATAATATTGATGATATGTATTTATTTTTATCTATAATCTGGAAATGTCCCCAGACTGAATTTCAGAAGTCTGCTCACCTTATGGGTGCTTCTCAACCATTATAAAGGTGATAATAACAACTCAGATAAATAGGCTGTAAGTTAGTAAAGTTATAAAAAAGTTTTATTTCTGTTGCACCTTTCACAGACGTTGACATAAAAAAAAATCTTCACAAAACTCTAAACATGCTTCAGTGAATGCCAGTCCACGTAAAAACGTCTTTAGGCTAAAACCAGGCTCATTTTTCCAGCCAAAACTGGGGCAGCCATGTTTGTTTTGCCTCTGGTTAACACAGTGATGTCATACATGTCCCAGCATTTCATTGGTCCAACATATTTCTGTATCGATGCCAAACGTATCTGCTGGCTCCTGGCAAAAAGGTTTATTTGGGAGTTTGTGAATTTACAAACGCTGTCAGAATTCATCGTGTTTAGAAGGTAAAACAATCACAGGTTAGCAAGGCAATGAGTTCTAGAACAGGATGTTCTAAAGCAGGACAAAGAGTTTGATTAAACTTCGGAATAGTGGAAACAGAGAGAAATAAAAATCTTTTCAGGTTGAGGCTGGAGCCGATGGAAGAAAGCATTCATGTTGTCTGCTGTTATGGATCGTCCTTCATTCCATGTTGGACAGGAGGAGCCTCAAAGTTCAGCTTTAGAGTTTTTCCATCTCAGTGGGAAAAATCATTACTACAAACACTTTCATATCAATGATCAAATATTATTAATTAAAACCTATGACAATCATAAAACAATTAGAGGCTATTTTTACATAGTTTGTTCTTCCTTTTTTTTTTAGAATTCTCTGGGTTCCCGGCGCCCCCTGGTGGCCCTGGCTGTAAAAAGCACAGATCAACCTTTTTAATAGAGATTTGAACTTGAGAGGCTGCCGTTCATCCAGCAGCTTTTTGTCCCTGAATCTCTTGTTGTCAGTTAGATGAGTCACTCTACACTCTTCTAGATTAAAAAATGAAATATTCAACAGCGCAGAGAAGAAGCCAAACCTGAAGCCACCATCATTAATTATTAATGCTTCCATCAAAGGCTACAGAGAGGAAAGGCATAAGCAGGAAAGGTTTACCTGGATGTCCAAAGGACGGCGGCACAGCTGCTCTGGATGAGCTTGCTGCAGGTCATGGAGCTTCTCCCAGTCTCCAGATCCCCTTTCATCGTCCCGATCAAACCAGTCAGACCACTCTGCTTCTGTGGAACGCACAGCTTGCCTTAATAGTTCAACTGGTTTAGACTCTGATGCTGCTCTAATCATTCTTTTTACAATTATTAAACTAATTATACTATTTTATAATACTACCTTCACTAAAACTAATACTAATACTACTACTATTATTTCTATCTTTACTATGACTAATACCAACACTGCTAACAGTAATACTGCCATTACTAATAATAAAATAATATTATTATTATTACTACTACTATTACTAAAATTACTATTACTAATACTTCTATGTCAAAATTACTTATAAAGAACTTAATAAATAAGTGCTGTACAAGAACAACAAAAACACATGTTAATAAAAACAGAATATTAATACTCTCTTCAAATAAATGCCAATGAATAAAAATGAGTTTTGAGAAGTGATTTAACGTGATCCAGGCTGTGGGCAGATCGAGTTAGGAAAGGCAAATTGTTCCATAGAATAGGAGAAACCAGAGAAAAGGTCTGATCTGCTTTCCTCTAAAGGCCAGTCTGAGGAACTGCTTTTTCTGGAAACAGACTGACATTTTAAAAGCTCCTAAAGGTAAAGGGGAGCTGACCCATTTAAAACGTTATAAGTAATAAAAGAGTCTTAGAATCTATTTGATAAAGCCAGTGTGAAGAGTAGCCAGCCAAGCCTTATATGGTCACGTTTCCTGGTTCCATTAAGAAGCCATCCTGCTGTGTTCTGGAACATTTGTGAAGTGGACCATGGGATGTGGTGGTCTAGTAGTTAGGGCATAGAGCTTGGATCCAAGAATTTAAGCCCCACTCCCACAGCCTGCCAATCTGGGTCCCTGAGCCAGACCCTTAACTCCACACTGCTTCCCAGGCACCACACAATGGCAGCCCACGGAGATGGATTAAATGCAAAGAGTTAATTTCACTGCTCTGTACTCATGAACGTGGAATGACATCGGAATAAAGTTGAATTCTATTCTATCATGTCAAAGTCACTGCATGTGTGATTGATCCATGCCTCTATATATGAATTGCAATAATCTAAACAAGATGTAATGAAGGTATGGATTTATGTCAGGGTTCCCGTGTGTGTGTGTGTGTGTGTGTGTGTGTGTGTGCGTTTGAGTGTGAGTGATGCATCTTCACCTGAGAGGATCTGGGTGGAGTACCTGGGCTGCCTACAAAGGTGGAGCCTGTCAACTTCATCAGAGTGCTGGGATTAAAGGTGCAGCAGAGCCTTCACTCAGAGCTGGATGACTAACATTTACCGGTAGTCTTTCTGGCCATCTCTGGTTAAATCATTTTCTAGTTTGATTATCTCCAGTGAACTTGCCTGAAGTTGCTCATTCCCTGTCCTTATTTTCTCCAGGTTTTTATAAGGCTTGGTTTCAGAGGATTCAGTTCACTGACTCACCTTCCAGTGGACTTGCCAGCTAGTTACCTGCCTGCCCGCTCCACCTGCAACCATCTTCCCTCCACGGCCCACTCAAAGTATTCAGAAGTAAGTCCTCTTTGATTCCAGACGCCACCGTTCACAGAACCTCTCACAGTCCTGAAGGAACTAGAACTGTCTGTTTCTCATTGTTTGGTCAATTAATCCTTTTTTTCCCCCAAATTTTAACCGATTCTGCATGTGGGTCAGAAGTTAAATCCGAACATGACAATTTAAGTTTTGATAAAATCTGCAGGTGGTAAAAACTTGATTTAGTGACAGACTAACTTGTTTATCTAGCTTTGAACAGCTATCAAAAGTGAAATAAGATTCCCTGCAGTTTGAATACCCCCCCCAGCACTTTTTGATGATCGTCCAAAAGTGGAACAAAAAATTTTCCTTCATGTTTTACCAATAGCATTTAATTCTTAGGCATTTTATGTGTTCATCTCAAATAAAAAAACAACAACATAAACAATGAACATTAATAGCAAACAAATACAAAATAAAATCCTATTATAAACCTGCATTTATAAAACTGCAGCTCCTCTGAGTGACTCCATTAGAATAATTTAAACAAAAATTATAGTCAGACTGACTGAATTAGCTTCACTAATTAACAAAAACAGTTGATCCCAGTCTGTTGTCTACATCCAGTCTGTTCTCTACGTCAAGGACTTTTTTGTGTCAATAGGCAACCCTACATCAGAGATAACAAAAATCACATGTGGGGTTCCCCAAGGGTCCATCCTGGGTCCCCTCCTATTCAATTACCCCGTTTACACTACCCTTAAAAAACTGAGCCGAGACCGGTCCGAGCTCAGTAACTGAGATAACTTGTCGTGTGTGAACGGAAACAACCTGAACTGAACCGAGATAGACATAACCGGACCGCGCTAACTGCAGACCAGTTCCCGAGGTGGGTTCGGCTCTGTTTTTTCCTGGCTCGGTTCTCTGATAACAAGAGCGCATGAGCA